TCACAGCTTGTTTTGGACTTCATTACACTATTATTTTCAGCATGAAAATGTGTGGTTTTGTAGGGTTTCTCATTCTTCAAAGAGGCGCAGAAGCTGAATTGGTAGAGGAGCGATGCAAAGTACAAATTTGTGGATTTATTAATTTAACACACCCACATTTTACTTTAAAATATTAAAAGATGAGGTTCTGCCAAATGGAAAACTTAGTTTGTGAATTGATTCTGAGGAGTGGTTTTTCTTAGGCACTTAATTTCGATATTAATTTATCAGATTGCTTTTGTGCACTGGATAACACCACCATTCACAAGTTAAGATTCTTGGTTTTTGGATGTCTGTTAGATGCCACTAAGAAAATAGAGATGAGCTTCCTTTTTAAAGCTTTTGATGTGGTGTCCTAGAGTAGCATGTTGTAGATACAATCAGCTGCTTTGTTACCTTAAAACTAAGCATTTGTAAATATTAAAACTTACGAAGATGGCAGGTGATGTCCTTTAAAACACTTAGCTGTTCAGATGGGACATAACTGACATAGTACTTTCTCTCTTTAAAATTATAGGAGACTTGTAGCTCGGTATTGTTTTTTCTGTTTCCAATTTGCTGCTGATAATGTACATTGATTTAACATGCTGTGTAAGCTGGGTCCTAGTCACTGAACAGTTTATGCAGTGCTGCTTTGCCAAATAAAGTTAAACGTCAAAGAGGCATTGGTGGTGTTTGAATACAGAGGGAAGAGCCACAAGTCCAGCAGCTACAAAGTGCTGACTGAGGGAGGTCACAGAGAGAAAACTGTTGCTCTGATGCTCCGTTTTGTCGAGTCTGAGGGGCCTGGATTAATAGCATCCCTCCAGCTGTACATGTAGACTGTGACCCTTCCCAGTGAGTGAGGACTATACCTCGTTTATCATTTTTCTTTGCCTAACACGGGGCTTGCCTCTAAGTGAACAGTAAATGCTGAATGAGTGAATGAATGAGTTGGCCTAGTGTCAGAGAAGAACAAGGTAAAGGATAAATTTAACAAAACCCATCTCATCATCTATAAATATTTATTGTGGCGCCTGGGTGACTCATTCGGTTAAGCGCCTAACTCTTGACTTTGGCTCAGGTCATGATCTCACGGTTCGTGGGTTCAAGCCCTGTGTTGGGCTTCGCATTGATAGCTTGGAGTCTGCTTGGCATTCTCTCTCTCCCTCTCTGCCCCTCCCCCACTCACACTTGCTCTCAAAATAAATAAACTTTTTTTTACACTGTTTTCTCCTATTGTTTTTTTTAAATTTTTAATGTTTATTTTATTTTAAAAAAAATTTTTTTTAAATGTTTTATTTATTTCTAGGAGAGAGAGAGATAGCATGAGCAGGGGAGGGTCAGAGAGAGAGGGAGTCACAGACTCAAACAGGCTCCAGGCTCTGAGCTGGCAGTCAGCACAGAGCCCGACACGGGGCCCGAACCCACGAACTGTGAGATCATGACCTAAGCGAAAGTCGGACACTTAACCGACTAAGCGACCCAGGCGCCCCGGTGTTTATTTTATTTTTGAAGGAGAGAGACAGAGTGTGAGTGGAGGAGGGGCAGAGAGAGATGGAGACACAGAATCTGAAACAGGCTCCAGGCCCTGAGCTGTCAGCCCAGAGCCCGACACAGGGCTTGAACTCACGAACTGTGAGATCATGACCTGCGCTGCAGTCGGACGCTTAACCAACTGAGCCACTCAGGCGGCCCTCAAAATAAATAAACTTTAAATAAATATGTATTAATATGATGACTGTAAAATGAGTTTCTAAGAAGGCAGTAGCACTTTGGGATCTTGTTTAAATATTGTGGTTTTATAACTTTTATAAAAAGATCTTCATTTTTCTAAGGGCTCTAGAACTTGAAAAACTACAAACTGTGTATCTAGCACCGCTCGTGCTCTCAGCAAAGCAGCCCCCGTGCTGTGTGCACGTGTGTCTCATTCCAGCACGGCGGTCCCTAGTGCGTGTGGCACCTCCCCCACCTCTTACAGCCTTAAGCTTTACTTGCTTAAAAATGGTTTTTAAAATCTACACACACGTTTTCTCTCTAGTGTCTCTTGGGCAAGATCTCACACGGCAAACTAGCATTAGTTGGCGGTTGAAACTTGGGAGTTTCGGTTCCCCGCTGGTTTGCTGCTGCTGTTGCTGCTGCTGGATCCCGGCCATGGGCCCTTTCGGCGCAGGACTCCGTGATCTGACGTAGTTTCAAAGGTCAGGGGTTCTTTAGGATTTTAAATTGATTCTTAAACTTAACCACTAACTAGTCTGTATCCTTCATAGCCATTACTAACATTTTATTAGATGCAAATCCCTGCCGTATGTAAAAAAGCCGTTACTCTCAAGGAATTTGCAGTCTGGCTGAGGGGACAGTTTATAAATAGGCTAGGACTGAAGTGCTACCTGAGTGTTATAGACAAATGCCATGCCAAGCATTACTGATGGATTTTATGCTTTTGTGAATTAAAAAAAAAATTTAAATGTTTTTAAATTTTGAGAGCGAGCGTGCACACACATGCACAAGTGAGAGAGGGGTAGAAAGAGAGAGAGGCAGAGAGAGAGAATCCCATGCAGGTTCCCACTCAGCAGGGAGCCCAAAGTGGAGCTCGAACTCATGGCCCTGGGATCATGACCCAAGCTGTTATCAAGAGGTGGACACTCAACCAACCAAGCCACCCAGGTGCCCCAATAGGAGTAGATTTTAAAGGAGCCTCGATAAGTGGCAGAAAGAGCAATAATGGATTTTAACTAGGCATAAGAGCATTTTTAAAAGAGCTGAAGTTATATAAATGCCAGTCAGAGATCAAAAGTGTTTCTTTAATCTTTAGTATTCATAATCTCTAAAATAACTTCAGCATTCCATTGTTTCTTGATAGAAGCGATTCCTTTATACAGTATAAAGAGGACAATGAAAATATTTTCAAAATTTTCAGTCTGGTGAGTTCCTGTTAAAACAAGATGATTTTACAGACTTGATTTTATTTGAAGGCCAACCTAGTTCTCAGTTAAGAATGAAAATTAAGAATTCCAGGTTCTAATGAGGATTTCAACTCTTTTCCAATCAGTAACATTAGGGAGGAAATGACATTTTAGGAAAATAGGACATTATCATTGTCCATGCAAGTATTTAAAATCCCAATGCCCTTAATTTTTAAAAACCTCCATTGCTCAAAAGAAGTTGATTATACTTGTTAAGTTGACTTAATGTACCTATTCTAAGGCATCTTAAAAACTCAATGTATTTTAAAGTAGGATACCATTGTTTAGTAATATTTTAATGCTCATGAATTTTTTGAAATCTGAAACCATCTTTTGCATCAGATTGTTAGCCACGAAATAAAGCTCCTTAGTTTTGTTTCATAGAAGAGGTAGGTGTTTCGGTTTTCAGGTAAATGTTAATGAGTTTTCCAGTGTTTGTAATGGCAATAAAAGAGCTCATATGACAATGGTAATTGAATGCTAATGTTGTAAATGAAATAGCAAACATGGGTAATTTTTAAAATGTTCTAAATGGGAGGGGCGCCTGGATGGCTCAGTCAGTTAAGCATCCGACTTCAGCTCAGGTCGTGATTTCACGGTTCGTGGGTTCGAGCCCTGCATCAGGTTCTGTGCTAATGGCTAGCTCAGAGCCTGGAGCCTGTTTCAGATTCTGTATCTCCCTCTCTCTCTGACCATCCCCTGCTCATGCTGCCTCTCTCTCTCTCTCAGAAATAAATAAAAAACATTAAAAATAAAATAAAGTGTTCTAAATGGGATTCAAAAGGCCAATAACTTATTTTAGGTAAGTGCCAAATTCTTTGAAGTATAAATCATCATTTCCTACTAAGTTCTTAAAGAGCTACACTAGTAAAGTAAAAGTGCTCTGATCTTGGGGTGCATGGGTGGCTTAGTTGGTTAAGTGTCCAACTTGATTTCAGCTCAGGTCATGATCTCACAGTTGTGAGTTCCAGCCCAGTGTCAAGCTCTGTGCTGACACTGCAGAGCCTGCTCTGGATTCTCTCTCTCTTTCTCTCTCTCTCTCTCTGCCCCTCTCCCACTTGCTCTCTCTCAAAATAAATAAACATTTAAAGATTAATTAATTAATTTAAAAAAGTGTTCCGGTCAGATTTCAGTTTCATGTCTTTTGATTTCTCCTACCATTTTTCAGGAAGATGACAATGTTTTGTCCCCAATGTACTTAAAGGGTGGCTCAAATAGATTGCCAGTAAGAAAATCCTGCATAAGGGGCTCTGAGTGGTTCAATCAGTTGAGCGTCCAACTTCAGTCTAGGGCATGATCTCGCCATTCCGGACTTTGAGCCCTGCTTTGGGCTCTGTGCTGACAGCTCAGAGCCTGGAGCCTGTTTCAGACTCTGTCTCTCCCTCTCTCTCTGCCCCTCCCCCACTTGTGCTCTGTCTCTCTCTCTCAAAAATAAACATTAAAAAATTTTTTTTTAAAAAGCCCGCATGAAGAAAACTAGCCGGCCCATGTAGCCCACAGTTGTGTATTGTAATAAAAAATGAAACTAGTCCAAGAGTTTCCTTATCTCTAATCCTTCTACCAGTGCTCTCATGGTAGATGTTAGTTTCCTCTTTACGCTTCACCTTTATAACTGACTTTGTGTTGTTTGAGCCAGGATTCTTTATGAAGTGCTCCTTGTCTGGCGAGAGAGAAAACATCTGACTTTCAGTCCCCATAGAGGCTGTCCTGAGCCAGTGAATCCTCCTTCCTCTCTCTCTTTCCCCTGGTTCCTTTCCCTTCACTTCCTTTTCAACATGAGAGAAAGTTCGAGGGCTGCTGGAGCTGAAGAACTCATTCTTACCTGGAGTGTCCTAATAGGATGGGCATCAGAAGAATACTTTTTTGTCCAAAGGGCAGGTGTTTGCAGCACCAAGGACATCTTAAATACGAGAGTGGCAATCCAGGGACCTGGGGCAGCTGAGGACATTTATATTTGAGTTCCCATGCCCCAAACATGTCTCTGTGACCCGCCCCAAAGGATCACATCACATGGAGTAATTTCTTTTGCCAACCCTGTTTATTTCAGCTTTTTGTTGATTATCTTGTCAGGATTTTGCTTAGGAATTACATTACAGATGAAAGAGCTTGCAGAATTTCCATATGAACATGATTGTGTCAAGTGTAAATCAATTATAAAAAGATATTTTCTGGGGAAGAAGACCTGCCCTTCTTTCGGATCTTGACTCCTTTATGTGATTAGCTTGTAGGGAACACAGTTGGATAAAGCAGGCCAGACGTTACAGGTGGGGGTGTTAATGGAGTGTCAGACTGTCTCCCCTTCAACAGCAAATGACATTGAAGGCGTGATCTCAGATTGCATAGTTCACGGTTCTGATTCCTTCATTCTTCTATACACACATCTCTAGATCAGACATTTAGGGATTCTTCTAAATTTCTGTTTTCATCTGTGAAACTGCTTTGTTTAAATATGAGAACATAGACTTTTGATATTTTTGGACTCTTGGGTCTTCAGTCATATGAAATGATGACGAATGGAAACAAAAAGGAACTTTTAAAGTCCATAAACTCAGTACAATTTTCCCTAAGCTTTTTGGTAAAAGTTAAAGTAATTTTAAAATGTGTTTTGAGAAGTTTCCTACGTTTTGAAATAACTGTATAAAAACATCTTTAAGCTGAATGATACTGTAAGTTGATCTCTTTCCAATTTACAGTGAGGTAACTTCCATAAAGACTAAACACGGAGGTGATGGGAGGAAATAAATGAGCAGGAATGAAGACACACCGAGGCCTAAATGTAGCTAATGGAGGAGGCTCAGTCCTAAGCACTCAGTCCATTTCTGAACACATCCAGCTTCGGTGTGTCTAACCACATTTTCATCCCTGGCGGTTTTATATTTATCCCCCCCCCCAAAAAATGTTTGCTCTTAAAGTAGCTATAAAATATGCACTTTATTTAGGATACTAGATAGAATTCAGGACAAAAGAGCTGGGGAAAATGGGGCCAGCGCCCCAGAAAAAGTCAGCATCACAATTTGCTTAAAAAGCCAGGGAGATGAGAACATTTGTGAAAAGCAAACTAAGCTTCTCCCTCTCTATTCGGCTTGGGCGGTTTTTTGTTAGAAACCCTCATTCGGTTTTAACGCCAACGGCTGGGCCAAACTATTGTTTTAAAGAAAACAAATAATCGGAGTCACTCTGATAGGAACAAAACGGTGCAATCCCCAAACATCAAACTGGGGACAGTGTAACTTAAGAGACGCCCAGGGACAATCTCAGGCCCAGATGCTGCTGTTGCAGAGCACCGTGACTGACGAGACAGCACACGTGAGGACCCGGGCGGCCCTGTGTCCTGGGGCACGGCCCACTGCCCTGTGTTTCTGTACCCGGAGTCCAGTTAATTCACCAGCAAGGTCTGCCTTGAACAGCAAAACTGAAGAACAAATAGAAATAAGCGTCTCCACGTTTGGGCTGCGGGAAAATATGATAAAGACGACCTGAAACGGCCATCAGTGACTGAGGAGGGCTGGGAAGTGCGGAGGTGAATCGTGGAGCCAAATCACGGATTATGAAAAGTAAGGGAGAGGAAGATGAAGACAGTGTTATTTTCCCGTGGAAGAGAACAACCTGATACCCAAGTGACTGGAAACATTCGAGCTTCTGGAAGGATGGAGACTAGCTGTTGTCTGCTTGTATGTAGGAGGACTGGAGGAGAGAAGCTCTGAGTTTTCTGGAAGGTGGCTCAGATGGGCCTTTTCTCAGGGAAAGATATGCGAGGCACAAGAACATGTTTGGGCAGTAAATTGCAGACAACTTTCCCTTTAAAATTATTTTAAAATCGTCTTAGATGCAGAACCCCTTCAATTAAGATACTCACAGGTAAAGTGACTCTGAAAAGCCCCACGCAGTCCATCTGACAACATAAATTGTAGACCTTGATTCTCCTTCTCTCATTCCTAATTTCCCCCTTTGCAAGATAAGGTTGATAGGGTTAAATCCAGGTAACAATACAGGAACAGCTCAGTAAATGATAGCAACTTATGATTAGGTTAAATGGCTGTTTAAAAAGGTATAAGAATAAAATACAGTTTATTAAAGGGTTATTGTACATGTAGATATGGACATCCTTTTTCAAGTCTTTTGACACCAAAGCAATACTAAATCATGTTTTAATTTCCTCACGTATAAAAGATGTGCTGGAGGCTGCATCCCTCAGCAGTTTGTATCGTGTCGGGTGTAGCTATGGGTCCAGGCTGGTAGGCTGCACGGCGACACACAGCGACGTGGCGTACACATGGCCACAGAGGGCCTCAGGTCGTCTGTGCTGCCCTTTCTCTAACCTGCCCTCGAGGAGAGACTCAAATCTTCGCTCAATTATAAATATTCCACAAAATGCTTGGACCTCTCAGGACGTAAAAGTAACCAATTTCTTTGTTTTTTAGAACTTTCCATTTGTTAATGGGTTCGTTATATTTCGGACCCAAATTAAGCCCTTTGCCAAAGGAACAACTTACCTCGGTTTCAGTCTGAAAACAGAATGTTCTACAATGTATTCAGATATTTTAGAAGATTTGCCACTGATGAGAAGAAGCCATATTATGTACATAGCAACATCACATGACTATAGACAGGCACCACATTCCTCTCAAGGAGAATGCTTTCTAGAACATGTGTAATCCCGGCGTGAAGTGATGATGGGAACAGTTTGCCTTTAAAATCCTAGACTGATGAACAGGGGATAGATGCTAAGCTAGATGCCAGTTTTCTGCAAAGATGAATTTGTGCAAGCCTGCTTTACGCTCCGGGAGTGCGTAAGCCTGGCATTAGCTGACTGCACATTACAACATCTTACAGCATTAAGTAAATAGTGGAGAAAATGCTCATTTCCACTGGCTGAAAGACACTGCTGCTACTTACACACGTGGCATTTTTACCAAAGCTGCACCAGGAATCCACCCAGTGCTCTGTTTCCGGTTTGCAGGCACTTTTCTTTTCCATCCACACAGACTGGTGTTGAAACCCAGCGACTACATAAATAAAGCTGCTGCGTTCTGGACCACCAAGCAGTGTCGAGTAGATTCAAGAAAGGCCTAATTGTGCTCCTCCCACTTTGCCCTCAGCCGAGTTGGTGTTGAAATGTTTGAGCTGCCCCCTCTCCTTCACCAGGTCTCCTAACGCCTCATGACCACGTGACAGCTATTTGTTTTCCAGAGGCTGGGATTTTCTGCCCAAAGGGAGGCCTAATGAGGCGGCTCCCTAAATGACATGATGTCAGAGGCACTGAGATAAACTCACATTCTCCTTTCCCAACGCCTTCTTGACATGTTCATGGGGCTCCAGTATAGATATTGCTGCCCTAGGTATCAGCTCATTGAAGATCACTTGAGATCCAGTCACAGAAACAGGCTTTGAAGGGGAGAGGAGGAAGCTGTGTATAAAGTGGTCCCAGGTTGGCAGGGGCCAATGGCTGGCCTCTAAAAAGTAACGGGTTAGCATCGCCATTCCCAGGCCACCCCTCAAACGCTGAACGATCCGCCGCGGCTCACTGCGAACTACTATTTTCAGGGACTGCTTACATTAAGTCAGAATTCGATTTGTGAGTCTTTACTCAGACTCCTCTCAAAACTTCAAAATATCTCACATACTTCCGGAAGAAAATCATTCTACAATAAATAAAAACAAAAGTTTGGGGTTTGCAGAATTTTCTGGGGTTTTGGTTTTCTTAGCCCAGCTCAAACCAAAGAGGTTTCTAAATATCCGGAGCCCAATAGGTATAAATTAGAAGTGAAACACCCTCGCCCCTAGCTATTCGAATGACACTTTCATAGATACATCCCATTTATGAGGTAGTCCGATTCCTCAGATGTAATGGGACGAGCTTTTTTAAGTTTCTGTTTCACCAGGCGTAGACGGCAAGCGACCATGAGAAGCAGCAGAGCCGTGATGGCCAAACCCAGGGCCAAGGGTAGCACTGCACCTGTGGAAGGGTGAGAGCGGATAGCGCAGGTCAGTGATTTGTAACAATGACCGCTACAATCTGCCGTATTAGAAACACTTTGCATGCGCGATTTAATCCGAACAATCAATTAAGTAGGTACTCACACTATCACCATCTTATAGATGAACTAAGGTGGCGAGATTAAGTAATTACTCTAAGAGCACACAGCTTGCCAATGGCAGGAGTTCTCAGACCCAGACTTCTTCTTTTCCTTTTTTTTTTTTTAAATGTTTATTTACTTTTGAGAGAGAGAGAGAGAGAGAGTGAGCAGGGAGGGGCAGAGAGAGAGGGAGACACAGAATCCAAAGCAGGCTTCAGGCTCTGACCCAAGGCCTGTCAGCACAGAGCCCGATGCAGGGCTCGAACCCATGAACCGTGAAATCATGACCTGGGCTGAAGTCAGATGCTTAATCAACTGAGCCACCCAGACTTCTTTAAAACCAAATCCTGGGGCGCCTGGGTGGCTCAGTCTGTTAAGCGTCCAATTCTTGATTTCGGCTCAGGTCATGATCTCATGGTTCGTGGGTTTGAGGTTTACATCGGGCTTCATGTTAGTGGTGCAGGGCTTGCTGGAGATTCTCTCTCTCTGCCCCTCCCCTGTGCACTCTCTCTCTTTCCCTCTAAAAAATAAATATGCTTTGGGGCACCTGGGTGGCTCAGTTGGTTAAGCATCTGACTTCAGCTCAGGTCATGATCTCACGGTTCCTGAGTTCAATCCCTTCATCAGGCTCTGCGCTGACAACGTGCAGCCTGCTTGGGATTCTCTCTCCCTCTCTTTTTCTCAAAATTAAAAAAAAAAAAATTTGTTTTCATTTCTAAGTCCAGGGAACCTACTCTCAGCCAGTAGAACCACTGCTGAGAGTGACCAACAGAATCTGCTGGTGTGATTCTGGTTAAGGGTAGTTGAAGAGAAAGTCTCTGCAGTTCTCCTTCACAGGCTTTATCCTGTGGGATTGGACGCGCACCCGGACTAGAGGCGGCCTGTCCAGGCTTGCAGGAGTCTGGAGGGACAGGGTGTGCCCCAGATCGGTCTTTCTTATCAAGCTCAGCAGGCTCTATTCTTAGTCCCATCTACTCTGGGGTCCGGCCAGGCTCAGAGATGACACGGTGCAACCATTTTTAGCTGCAGGGGCCTTGCCAACCGGTGGAATTAGAGGAGTCAAAATGTCCAATGCAGAAGCCGATTCATTTCATTCACTTATCCAGTCACTCAGTGTTAACTGGGAGCCATGTGGCTGACCCTGAGCTAAGTGCTGGCGGTCAATGACAATAAGCCAGCGCTGCAGAGTGCCAGCACTGCGCTAGGTGCTTGATGGCTCAAATCTAAATCTCACAACCGCCACGAGCTGGTACTGTGAGTGTACCCATTTTGCCAATGAAGGAACTAAGAAAGCAATAATTAAGTGACTAACAGATGTTGTCCAGGATGCGGAGAAAGAGGATTTCTTTTGCACTGCTGGTGGGAATGCACACTGGTGCCGCCGCTCTGGAAAACAATATGGAGGTTCCTCAAAAAATTAAAAATAGAACTACCCTCTGACCCAGCAATTGCACTACTAGGTATTTATCCAAAGGATACAGGTGTGCTGTTTCAAAGGGGCACATGCACCCCGATGTTTATAACAGTGTTATTGACAATAGCCGAGGTATGGAAAGAGCCCCAATGTCCATCGACAGATGAATGGATAAAGATGTGGTGTATATTTATATAATACATAATGGAGTATTTCTCCGCAATCAAAAAGAATGAAATCTTGCCATTTGCAATAACATGGATGGAGCTGGAGGGTATTCTGCTAAGCGAAATTAGTCAGAGAAAGACAAATATCATGTGACTTTACTCATATGTGGAATTTAAGATACAAAACAGATGAACATAGGGGAAGGGAAGCAAAACTAATATAAGAACGGAGGGGAGGGGGACAAACCACAAGAGATTCTTAAACATAGAGAACAGAGGGGTGCTGGAGGGGTTGTGGGTAGGGGGATGGGCTAAATGGGCAAGAGGCATCGAGGAGGGCACTTGCTGGGACGAGCACTGGGTGGTATACGTAGGGGATGCATCACTGGATTCTACTCCTGAAATCACTATTGTGCTATATGCTAACTAACTTGGAGGTAAATTGTGCCTTGGGGCACAGGGCCCATTTTATTCAGACACCTGGGGACAGCGGCAAGGCCAGCAGGCCAGCAGACGGAGCGGCATCAGGTACTTGACGTCTGGATTATTTTGGCCACATGTTGGTTAGTGGTTTTATGTTAACGTTGTCCAGATTTTACAAAGAACATTCTGGGGTAAAAAAATCTTCTCTGTGTTCAGATCTGTAATTTAAGAATCATATTTATTCTCCTAAATCTTCTTTTACTAATTAGTTTGTGGGATTTAGGACTAAAACCTACCTTTTTGCAGAACCATGTCAAAAGTATTCTCTTTCTAGTTAAAAACAGCCCTAATTATGGAACGATGGTATTCTTCTTCCACTCACTAAATACTCCCTCGACCTCCCACACTCTTTCCTCATTGCCTTTGGTCTCCATCAGTAGAGCAGCTGGAGAGAACAAGGTACTCTAAGATCTTTACTCTATAACTAACTCAAGCATAATAGCCATCATTTATTTGGCTCGTGTTAAGAGCCACACAAGTGTGCTAAATGGTTTACATTAATTGTCCCATTTCTCCCCCCGACAGCTCTGAGGCAGTGACAGCTGTCATCTCCATCTTACTAACGAGGAGAACTGGGATCCAGAGAGAGATCGCTTGCCGCAGATCATAGAGTTTAGTGGTGAAGCCACGGTTTGAACCTCGGCATCAGATTCTAGAGCCATGAATACCTAGTTCTTAACTTCTATGCTGTGAATATTACTCTTTCCATAGAATGTTACACCTGAAAGGTAACATCGTGATGATCTGGTCTAATCAACTCAGAAAAGAGGAGGCCTAGGTCCAAAGATGTGAGGCTACTAGTTCAAGAGCCCATAGACGCAGCCTGAAAGAACAGGTGAGGACTCAGCAGCTCTTCTGACCCACAGATCGATCGCTGCACTTGTCCCAGACTGTTGCAGCTTCATCTGGTTTCTTCAACTGGAGGAGGTGTGGTCCTACACATGTTTACACTCGGCGATGAATTTCCAAATTCTAGGTTTACCTGTTTCTGGGGCTGGATGTTCTCCTCCTCCTCGATCGCTCTTTGATTCAAAAATATAATTTTTTTCTTTTCTGTTCTTCTCTGAGGAACCGCTATCTACAGAGAACAGAGAGAACATTTATCAAAGGTACATCAGAAACTTCAGGAAACATACATGAAAATATAGCCTTATCTATTTTTCTAAGGATGGATTTAAAGGGCTTACAAAATTTATTTCTCTAGTAAATAAATTCTCTAGTTCTATGTTTGATACTCAAACACTAGGTAACTAATGTGCCAGTTTAGTAATGCAGAGTACGGGACGAGAACAAAACCACTGGACAGATGTGTCATTTGACTTTTACCTCAACCCTAGTTGGAGCGAATCCCTTGCTCTTTGTTTTTGGGTTAAGTCAGAGAGGCCTGGCACCTGGCCAGGTTCTTTCGCAGAGTAAGCGGGTCACAGGGCTGGGATTTATACTCAGGTGTGTCGAACTGCTTATCGGTGGAAACCAGCACTTCTGATGTAATGATATGTTGTTAATTATTTACTCTATTCAGTTCTACAACTGAGAGCGAATAGTAAAAAAGAGCAAATCTTAGGATTTTTATCCCAGGTCTGATAAGCCATGGCTATACACCAAATCATTTCCTATCTAGAAATTTATAGCATTTGTGTGCTTATTGCATTGACAAGATAATGGCTGAGCTAATGGAGTTGCTCTCATGCTGTGGGTGATCTCAAGTGAGACTGTGGGATAATATCCCCAGTGACAATAAACTAGAAAGGATGAGCCGACGTGAGGAATTCTACTGAGAAACAAAAGTTTAAAGCTTCTTACTCATATGTCATCAACAGATAAGTTTGCAACAACTGCAACTGAAATAAGGCTACTTAAAGGCAGTATTCATAAAATTCTTTGGAATCTATACTAAGTGATATGCCTGGATTTACTAAGGATCACAAAAATCAACAGGATAATGGAAACTTATAGTGATTGTAGGTACCTATAGAGCCAGAAGGCCAGGACTTGAAAAGATCGCTGCAGTCACGTGCCAGCGCCATTAAAGAGAAGGGACTGCAAATACGTGTGTTTCATTAAGGCATCCTTGACGTTCCTTTTCACTCAGCCCTGCAAGCCGTCAGTAGCTGTATCACACCAAGTCCATGACACTCTGAAGTATCCCTGACTGCGGTCCCTCTTCTCTGTCCTCAGCGGCCACAGCCTTAGGTCTCTGTCCCCTGTAACTCAAGCACTCTGCATTCAGACGTTCCTACTGGAATGCATCTGCAAAGCCTCCTCATCCCCACTCACTCAGCAGATCAGTGCAAGGAGGTTAACCCACGTTTGCTTCTCACGGTCAAGGCCACAGCAGGCTCCCTACACTCCGCTGTGCCTTGTCATGTCACTCTAAGAAGACTCATTCACGCCACCTGCAGATAGCCAATAACTTGGGCTGTCCTCCACACAGCGCAGGCCCAAAGAGAGTGAGAGGGGTGAGTAAGGCCAGTTTCTTGTGGCCAGAGAACAAGATTTCACCTTCAGGCTGATTGCTCTTACTGTCCACCTGACTGTCGTGGTGGAAGCCCCACCCCCAGCCGGAACAGCGAGGGGAGGAGGAAGAGCAGCCAGTGGGTGACAGTAAGAGAAGACAGTGACCCGGGAAGCAACAGGGAGAGCCAGCCAGGGAACTGGCGGGGCCGCCAGGTGTCGGGGCGGCTCAGCTCGTGGACAAAGGGACTTGCTGCCCGGGGCTGGAGACCTGTGTCCCAGTGGGATGGCGACAGGGATACTGCATTGAAGCCATGGGGCTGCTGGGGCCCTGGGGCCATCAAGAGCCTGGGCTGTCCTCCGCACGGCAAGCTCACTTCAACACCTTTGGATTTTGTGGACCAATTAGAACTTCACAATGACTTTTGGAGCCAATTTAGGGTTGTCAATTTTTTATTTTGCCAAAGAAAGACATTAAAAGAGATGGTTGCTGAAGAAGGCTGTTGCCTTCACCTCATTATAAAGCAAGGAAATGCGTAGACCCACAAAACATGAAGAGTTTAATACATAAAAAGTTTAGCTCTGTGAATTGAATGAATTTAGTCTCAGAAAACTCCCTGGACTGTCCTTATTTTTCTCATTTTGCCATTAGTGGATGAAAGCTTTATTATGGATGGATACTGATCTTTCTTTGACTGGCTTTGGGGACCAAATTCTGCTACTCTCCTTTTTTTAAAAAAAGAAATTGTTGATGTTTATTTTTGAGAGAGAGAGTGAGCGAGCACACATGAGCGGGGGAGTGGCAGAGAGAGAGAGGGAGATAGAGAATCAGAAGCAGGCTCTGTGCTGCCAGCACAAAGTTCCACGCGGGGCTTGAACCCACGAACCACAGGATCATGACTTGAGCTGAAATTGGACACCCAGGCACCCTGTCCCTCTCCACCTACCCAGATGCTTCAGCAGGGCTTTCAAGGTTCCCCATATCGCCCTCCATTCCCAACAAACGCCCTTCACTTTGGGTAGCTGGGATCCCCTGCTTCAGTGATTGTCATTCTCAAACTCATTTGCTCATGCTATTAATTAGAACCCTTGTTTTCCATGTATTCAAACTCTTTCTGCCCATTCTTTAGAGCATAGCAGAACGTCCATGCCTATCACAGGTAGGGGCCACCTGTCCACCAGGCACAATGGGCACTGAACCAGGGACTCGCAAAAATGTTTCAATTAAATTTCTCTTAAAATCACAAGAAAACAGGCGCCTGGATGGCTCAGTCGGTTAAGTGTCCGACTTCAGTTCAGGTCATGGTCTCACGGTTCGTGAGTTTAAGCCCCACGTCCGGCTCTGTGCTGACCACTCGGAGCCTGGAGCCTGCTTCGGATTCTGTGTGTCCCTCTCCTTCTCTGCCCCTCCTCTGCTCGTACTCTCTCTCTCAAAATTAAATGAACATTTAAAAATATCACAAGAAAACAATGGATATAATAATAATAATGCATATATAAGAGAGAATGTAGACTGTGTTACATTGATCTTTATATCAACATAGTCATAAAGTTTAATATATATATTTTTTAATGGGCCCATGAAAGTCATAATGCAGATCTAGAAGTAGCCAACCCTAACTACTCCAGCATTCACAGAGGTTTTCCTTTTTTTCCTTTCTTAAGTTTATTTATTTTGAGAGAGAGGAAGAGAGAGAGAGAACATGCAGGGGAGGGGCAGAAAGAGAGGGAGAGAGACTCCGGATCAGGTTCTGCATTGACATGGGGCTCAGTCCTTTGAACCGTGAGATCATGACCTGAGCCGAAATCTAGAGCTGGTGGCTCAACCGATGGAGACACTCATGCGCCCCCAGATCTCGTCCTTCTGAGCTTCTAATGCCCTTACATAGGGTACCATACAGGCAGGTCTTAAGGGAAGTGTAGTTGCTTCCTGTCCCTGTAGCTAAGAGAAAAAAGCCTTGAACACTGTGAGAAGCTTGCTGCCTAAACCATCATCCCCTCGGGGCTGGGATTAGACTGCTGAGTTAAATTCCAGCTCTAACACTTACTAGCTGTGTGACCTGGTCTAAGTTCTTCACCTCTCTGTGACTCAGTGTCTTTATCCATAAAATGCTGCTAGTGATTTCTGCATATCACCAAGTTGCTATTAAGACAGAAGAACTGGAGGCGTCTGGGTGGCTCAGTCAGTTGAGGGTCGGCTCTTGGTTTCAGCTCAGGTCCTGATCTCACGGTCTGTGAGTTCAAGCCCTGTGTCGGGCTCTGTGCTGGCACTGCGGAGCCTGCTTGGGATTCTCTCTCTCCTTCTCTCTCTCTGCCCCTCCTGCGCTTTCTTTCTGTCTCAAAATAAATAAATAAACTTAAAAAAAAGAGAGAGAGAGACCAAAAAAGTGCTCAGTGACAGGCACTCAGTAAGTAAGTACTCTTTCCAATAATAAATCTGGAAGTGGGAAGATCACATGGCTGGGAATTCATGTCCTACTTTTTAAAAATAATGAGCCAGGAATAAAAACACCAAAATTTACCAACGTCCAATTCTTTTCAGAGAATTAACTGGTCTCTCTTTTATCCAATGTAAAACTATGAAATAACTACATTCACAATCCTGCCCACCCCTGTCTCTTTTCAACGAAGATGAGATATTCTTCACCTTGATAATGAACAGGAACTCAGTACTGGGACCACTACTGCACTGTTTCTATTTTTTATGAGAATTAACGGTCTTACAGGCTTGTCGCTCTCTTACTCGAGCTTCCCAGTGAAGGCTACTGGACTTGAAAGCCTCAGTGAAAATTTGTCGAGCACTGACAGTTACTGAGAGACATAAATTATATTTACATACAATATCTCATGTAATCCGTACAGCAACACTGTGAGAAGGTACTATTATGCTCTTTCAGGCAAGGAAACACAGTTCAGAGAAATTAATTCCCTGGAGGCTAGTACCAGGTGGTGTTGGAATTAGAACCCAGGACCGATTCACAGCAGGAGATTTTCTTTTTTTAAAAAAAATTTAAAAATGTGGGGCGCCTGGGTGGCTTAGTCGGTTAAGCATCCGACTTTCGCTTAGGTCATGATCTCGCAGTTCGTGGGTTCGAGCCCCGCGTCGGGCTCTGTGCTGACTGCCAGTTCAGAGCCTGGAGCCTATTTCAGATTCTGTGTCTCCCTCTCTCTCTGACCCTTACCTGCTCACGCTGTCTCTCTCTCTCTCCTAGAAATAAATAAAACATTAAAAAAAAATTAAAAAAAAAATTTAAAAATGTTTATTTTTGAGGGAGAGAGACAGAGACAGAGCACGGGAGCAAGAGGGCAGAGAGAGAGGGAGGAACAGAATTCAAAGCAGGCTCTAGGCTCTGTGTTGTCAGGACAGAGCCCAATGCAGGGCTCGAACTCACAAACTGCAAGATCATGACCTGAGCTAAACTCAGACGCTTAACCGGCTGAGCCACTCAGGCTCCCAGAGCAGGAGCTTTTCTACTGAATCAAACTGCTCTCAAAGTCACAGATCCAAGAACTTAAGAGTTTATACGGTATTTATTTACTCACATCTAGGCAAATTGAAAATAACTAGGCAAAATCACAAACTGAAATGTTTCCTTAGGAAGTCTGAGGTAACACTCTCTGTTAAGGATGCAGCAGAGAAATAGCTAATTGTCCTTAGAAAGAGGATCTTGCCTTGGAAATGGGTTCATTTGAAAAACTAAACAAATTCGTTCTGGATCTTCAGTTGTCGAATTTGAAGAGTTTGTTCTTAAACGCCCTACTCCTGGGGAGAGGAAGCCAGTGCTGTAGGAGGTGGGAGCGATCAGGCATTAGGCAGAGGACAGTACACAGAGGAGACTTAAGAAGCCACAGTTGCCACAGACTCTAGAATTTCAAGGGGACCTGCCCTGGCCGAGTTGGTGCTTGAAACGTGAATCTCTGGTTTCTACATTTCAGGGAGGAATTCACTGTCATGTCCCAGACTGCCTGGTTCACTGGACGCCAATGGGTAGAACACCGTTGAGAAAGGCTCCATTCCACACGGTGCTATCCACACTCGCCCCAGAGTAGCAAGTCGGAACAAATAAGACAAAGATGGCATTTGCTTCTGCAAATAACTCATTTTGGTAATGGTCCTTTTTAGAAAAGTTAATGTCTTAGGAAATTACTTTTTCCCTCTTCTTTTTTTTTTTTAATTCATACATCTTTTATTCTTCTTTTGGCAAACATCAGATAATATGAGCAAAACTATATTGCTCACTATAGTTACATACATTCTTTTTTGCTTTATATAAGTTTGTAAACATCTGGATAAAATTCTTGGCTAAAGACATATTCCAAAACTCTGACATATACATTTTTGAGTTAAGAGAAAAGAAAGCTTATGAAACTTCCATTAGACCATAATCATACAGCAAACTAAGTTAGTATATGCTGTTTTTAAATTAACATCTGCCATTTTTTTTAAAGACTTCAATTTTTGGTTACAGCTAAAAAGATTTTGATCTTAAGTTTTATGAAAGAACAGAAGCTGACCACACGAATCTTACTCATAACTATATTGGCTATTTAAAAATAAAAAATAATAAAAATAAACCTATAATCAAGAAGGTTCCATCCATCTTATTGGAAAAAAATAGCTACCAAGAAGTTATTTTAAATATAGATGACATTTGTAATAACTAGGTTTCTGATATTTGTTTTATTACTTCTTAATGCTTATCTTTGGATTTTAAAATAACAGATCATTTCATAATAAAGGTAAGCCATTTACCATTTTCTAATTTAATTCTTTTATAATTTCAGACCTAAAATATTTCAGATCAAGGATTGTAACAGTCAGCTTTTAGAATATATTTTGTTAGGCAGATAGTATAGTTTTTCATCTTTTTAACTAGAACCCCGTCGTGCAGAACTTGATCTAGCTGACCTCAGTGTCTATCAGCTTCCCACGTTGTCACCAGGTGGGCACGTGAGACTGAGCACTGTTTTTAATATTATAAAACCCAATATTTACTTACAAAAATTAGTTGTGTTCTTGTAGCAAAAACTGAAATATTACAAATTTGATGCTAAATCTTAATAGTTACTCCGAATTTGGGAAAAACAGATCAAACCAAAAGTTTCATTTTCATAATACTTAGTTACATAACAAATTATCAGTGAGACATGCTTCTATATATGGATGCTATCTTCTTAGAATAGTGTTGAGAGTAATCTGAAATCTGAGCCAGATAAATCATTCACATCAGGAAATACTGTATACTGATTTTACTATTCAGTCTTAGCTCCCAAACAGTGGCTTTCAACTTGATCCCTACAAGTAACATAAAAATTCTCAAATATCTGAATTAAATGGAAAGGTAGGCTAAGTAACTTTCTTCTAATCCTGGAGAATGAAACAAAAAGAGAAGTCTGGTAAGACAAACTGGAAGAGGAGAATTTGAAGTAAAGTTGGCCTTGGACCCTTTTACATTGCTACTCCTTCGATGTGTACAAGTTAAAAAAAATAAAAGAGGCCACAAACTGTTTCTGAGTGGAAAAAACCACAAGGAAAGCAAAGCAGCTAAGTGGTGACGAGGAAAACATAACAAAGAATATAAAAATTTGCAGCTTTGAAGATAATCAAGAAACGATGGCACTGGAGCTCCTGGCTGACTCAGTTAATAAGAGAATGCAACTCTTTATCATGCGGTCATGAGTTCAAGCCCCCATGTTGGGTGGGAAGATTACTTTAAAAAGTAAAAAACTAGAATAAAAAAATAAAACACACTAAAAAACTGTAAGAAAGAAAACATGATGGTACTTCTTTAGGGGTCTGATCTGATAGGAACACCTATTTAAATTTGTCTCATTTCTTAAACTTCACTGATTCCCATATGAATATTTAACAAATTTTAGTTATTAAAGCAAGCTCTTTAGCTGCACTTTGACGGGGTTATATAAAAAGCTTCATAGTATTAATTCCATCAGTACCAGGGTTACTGAAATCAGATGCATTTATAAGCATTAAGTAGGTTTGCTATCACCCTTACTACATTTTTGCAATGACAAAGAGACCAAGTCATTTCATTTCTTCAAGAAAGTTACATTAAAATGGTTACTGAAAGCTTTTGGTAATAATGAGAAAAATTAAATTTATTTCAATGCAGAACAGAATGTTCAAGACCCTATATTAAAAATATCAGCAAATAGGTACTATCTTGGTCTACAAATGATGTTCTCCACAATGGACTCACAAGTGTTTTTAAATACCACAAAGGGAATACTAGTTAAAGTTTATCTCTAACATTTTTATTTTTTTAAATCTGTTAGTAGCTTTGCCATAAAACTGATTTAAGGTAGTTGTGTTTTTCAGTAATGTTAGAACAATCCAGCACTTGTAAGAATACTCAGATCGGCACATTGTACTAAAACATAATTGTGTAACATTTTGCAAACTAGCTGCAATTTTCAGTAGCTGTGTTCACCAACTGTGTAACAGAATTGTAATGTTCTCCTAAGCCGTATGCATGTCTCATATATACAAGTATTAATGGGTTTTTTTTTTTATATTCTTCACCAACTACAATAGGAGGAGAATCTGCCTGTATTATCTCTATCGGTGTTTGTAAAATGTGAGACAAGGCTCTTCGCTCAAGCTGACCTCCCCATGCAGCTGTGTTAATGATATCATCACAGTACTTCCTAAACTCTTCTTGAGTATACATCTCTCCCATATTAGGGTTTGTTAAAAATGGCAGAAAGTCCTCCACGTGGCCTTTTATATATTCGGCAGTTTGACTTCTTAAGGCAGCCATAGTCAAAGGGCATTTCTGTTCTTTGAGTTGATCTTCAATGGCTCTATACATACAGTGGCCATCAGATGGGATCTGTTTAATTTCCAACTGTCTTGCTGCCAATATCTGAGCAAGCTTTTCACTTTCTAAGTGTCTGGCTCCAGATAAGTTCTCAGTTTCAGCTTCAGCTATCCTTTCTTCCCGCTCCTTTTCCAATGCAGCTTTTTTGTCCCGTCTCTTTTGTGCTTTTGATATCCGAGGTGGCTGATTCTCAAGAACCACGTTTGAAATGTTAACAGCAACAGAATCTATTTTACTTCCCTTAGAAGTCAGCCTCAGTTGCTCCAATTCTTCTTTATGTCTCTGTTCCATTTCTGCTTCCAACTTAGCAACATCTTCAGTGAGTTGTTTCCTCCTCTGTTTGTCATTCTTGGGAACAGCATTCTTCAGACCCTGAATTCTGGCTTGCAGCTCCTTCTTCTCTTTGCGATGCCTTCTCACTAGCTGCTCCTCCTCATCAAGTTCTTCCGCCAAGACCGCCTCCATGACATCCAGGTAGCCCGCCCAGCACACCACTTTTTCCCTCTTCCGAATGACCGATGGTGTTAGTGCACACCGTGCGTAGCTATGCTCTCACAGAAGGAGCTGGGGGCCAGATAGAAGTGGTTTTCATTTTATTGTCAGTCGCCACTGCACATGCAAACATGTTCTGGAAGGAAGGTGGAGACACTAGCTGGAAAAGTGACTACAGTATGGACCTGCCTTCCAGAATGCACAGTGGCTTCCTGTGACCACGTGCCAAGTAATACAGGCAACAGAATCCTTCTTGCTCACTACTCACTGGTAGGCAACACTGCATACCTGCAAAGTAGCTAAGAAGGAGCTCTCTTCAGGAGATGCTCTGGATGCTATGAGGACAAGATCCGTTCATTTGAGGAAAGAGTTCATTTCTGCCATCACGTTGCAGCATAACGTTATTCCGCTGTGCTGCTTATTATCAGGCTTCATCAAAGTCAAACTGCCTTCCCAGAAATGTTATTTTGTAACTTCAGAACAGGTTCTCCATAAGAGACGGTCCAGCATATTGAAACAATGAAATAGCCATGGAAAATACAGGGCACATGAAGAAACTTCTGAGTATCCTTTAGAAGGATATGCTCTCCGGAGAAAACACCTCCCATAACAACACAAAGGTCACGGCTGCTCCCTCTAGTTACCTCCAGAGATAAGCCGAACCCGTGGGGCTTTGGCATATTTCGCAGGCGAGTGGGAGAAAGTACAGGCAGAACCCCACGTGTCCAGACAGAGGCCAGGCGTCCTCCCAAGGCCATGCTTCTGTCTGGATCCTTAAAGAATTCGGTTGACCTTCTGGGCTGGACATGAATTCTCAACTTCCAAAAAATATGGATTCAAGGGGCTACTGGGTGGCTTGGTTAACAACCTGCTCTTGATTTCAGCTCAGGTCCTAATCTCAAGATTCGTGAGTTCGAGCCCCACATCAGGCTCCATACTCGTGAGCCTGCTTTGGATCCTGTCGCCCTCTCTCTGCCCCTCCCCCACTTGTATGTGCACGCATGAGCACGCACTCTCTATCTCAAAAATAAATAAATGTTAAAAAAATTTTTAATTAAAAAAATGGATTCAGCGTGAATATGGATACACCACTTTTCTAGCACTCTGCAGTGCTGGAAATCAGATTTCTTTCCTCTGGCTAGCTCAGCCAGAAAGAGGACAGCCTTGTTAATAAATGACTTGGACCACACAGGGAACAGGCCCTCCAGATGCAGCCACGTCTCACAACAATTCAGCCATTGAGTCACTGCGTGCTGGACAAACACAGGCGCTGCTGTGGCTCTGAGCGGGCGGAGCGGACATTCTCGGGGTGACTGGATATTTGTACAAATCCCTCATTTTATCCTTAGTAACATGCTCAGGACGAATTCCCAAGTGTGAGATAACTGGATGAGGGCACACACAGATTTCAGGCTTCCGAAAGTGCCCCCTAGAAGACTACGGATTTTGGTCCCACCAGAAGCGCGGGAGTCTGGTTTCTCTGTGCTCCGTACGTGATAATATTTTTCACCTTTGCCAATGTGGCAAATGATAAAATGCATCTCTTTGCATTCTGCACTATATTGTCAGTATTAATGATAGTATCTCCTTAGCATATCTTCAGCGAGTTAAGTTTTTCATCCTTACCACGTGTCTGGGGGGGAAGGAAGTAGCGGAAAATGTAACTTGTCCTTATTGTACTAGCTGATGGTCCTGGTGAACTCCAGGCACAGGTCACAAATGGTAATGCACTTTAAAAATTTATTTATTTTATTCATGTTTTAAATGTTTATTTATTTTGAGAGAGAGAGGGGAGAGGAGGGGCAGAGAGAGAGGGAGAGAGAGAATATCAAGCAGGCTCCATGCTGTCAGCACAGAGCCTGACCTGCGGCTCAAACTCACAAACCATCAGATCATGACCTGAGCTGAAATCAAGAGTCAGAGGCCCAATTGACTGAGCCACGTAGGTGCTCTGGTAATGCATTAAAAAAATTTTTTAAAATATATATATATTTTTTTTTTGAAAAAGAGAGAGAGACAGAGTGTGAGTAAGGGAGGGGCAGAGAGAGAGAAGGAGACACAGAATCCAAAGCAGGCTCCAAGGCTCTGAGCTGTCAGCACAGAGCCCGACATGGGGCTTGAACCCACCAACTGTGAGATCAGGATCTGAGCTGAAATTGGATGCTTAACCAACTGAGCCACTGAGGTGCCCCTGATAATGAATGCATTTTAAATCTATTTATGTTATGCTGGGTATAGCACAATTTAACTAGTAAAGTCACTGTGGAAAACAACATGGAAGTTCCTCAAAAAACTAAAAACAGATTATGATATGATCCAGTAATTCCATTACTGGGTATTTACCCAAAGAAAAGAAAACACTAATTTGAAAAGATATATGCGCCCCTCTGTTTACTGCAGAATTATTTAGAATAGCCAAGATATGGAAGCAACCCAAATGCCCCTCCATGGATGAATGGATAATATATCTATATATCTATATCTATATCTATAATGGAATATTACTCAGCCATAAAAACAAATGAAATCTTACCATTTGCAATAACATGGATGAATGTAGACAGTATAATTCTAGGTGAAATAAGTTAGAGAAAGACAAATACCACACAATTCCACTCCTATGTGGAAGTTAAGAAACAAAATAAATGAACAAAGAAAAAAAACAAAAACAAAAACAAAAACCAGACTTTTAAATACAGAGAACAAACTAGTGGTTGCCAGAGGGGAACTGGCTAGGAACAGGTGAAATAGGTGACGGGGATTAAGAGGATGCTTTACCATGATGAGCACAGAGCAATGTACAGAGTTGTTAAGTCATTATATGGTATACCTGAAACTACAACACTGTATATTATACTAAAATAAAAAGTGAATAAATGTGTGCATGTATGTGTATAAATGAAAGTGACCAGAAAAAAATGCAACAGACTATTAATTTAAGTTTTGCTACATGGACTGATTTACCCATTAGGTGGCAGTACTAACAAAGGTATAGACCCAACGTAGCCATCTGAAAGCACCCAACGGAAACTCCAAAAGAAAACCCTTCACAGAATATTTCTGTGGGCATATCTGTATAGAGGCACTTAAAACCTAAACAGTAGATGGGGCACCTGGGTGGCTCAGTAGCATCTGACTTCGGCTCAGGTCACTATGTTACAGTTTGTGGGTTTGAGCCCCGTGTCAGGATCTGTGCTGACAGCTCAGAGCCTGGAGCCTGCTTCAGATTCTGTGTCTCCTGTTCTCTGCCCTCCCCCACTGTGCTCTTATGCTCTTGCTCTCTCTCTCTCTCCCTCAAAAATAAATAAACATTAAAAAAAAGAATATAAAAAACTCTAAACATTAGATAAGCAAACTGGAAAAAATTATATCAAAATATTAAAAGTTGTTTTCAGTAAAGGGTGGTATTTTAAATAATTTTCCTTTCTTATTATTTACATCTTCTGCAATGAACAAAAATATCCATAAAGAAGTTATTTAAATAGTGACAGATCATTTGTGTATAAGGTATGCAGAGTTTGAGTACTGAGAAGCCATTTACAAAAGCATACAGGAATGTGATACTCTATATTTCTGTCCCATGTCACAAACAAAACAAATACAAATGTGCAAAAATAAATTGAAGATGACACAATGCTAATGTTTTAGCAGTGTGAATGTATAAGATACTCATTAGCCTTACTAGTAAAAAAAAAATCACAGATTAGTTAAATTGGGAGCATAACACTGAAGTGCTAGGACAGCGAACCATTTCAGTATGACCCGTATTTCCTTACGCTCACTTGCTTAGCGTGAAGAGGGTTACAGGAATATATAGCGTCATGCTGCTTCATCTCAGAATGACCCAAAATTTCACACTTAGGGCAGTTGTTTCCTTAACACAGGTGTTGAAATCTCCTAATTCTTTTTTTTTTTTAATATTTTATTTATTTCTAGGAGAGAGAGAGAGACAGCGTGAGCAGGGGAGGGTCAGAGAGAGAGGGAGATACAGACTCTGAAACAGGCTCCAGGCTCTGAGCTGGCAGTCAGCACAGAGCCCAACGCGGGGCTCAAACCCACGAACCGCGAGGTCATGACCAAAGCGAAAGTCGGACGCTTAACCGACTAAGCCACCCAGGCGCCCCAAAATCTCCTAATTCTAACTTACTAACAATGTCCTGCTACTCCCAGAGTATGAATGAATGAATGAAAATATTTTGTAGGTGTTCCTGACTATAAGTAATCAGTGCAAATGTCAGATGGGATGGGGTTTTTTTTTCTTTCGGGCCAAATTTCTCATTTTAACTCTCCCTTCTTTTATTTCTTTAACACTCTTCAAGTATCACCTTCATTTTGAGCCGAGTGTCGCTGGAGAAAACGAGGCTGTTTGTGGAGAAGCTGCTCAGGCCCTTACCTGGCATCACGGGGTCAGTCTGACTCTCTGGTCCCCAAAGAGTGGAATGATTCCTCTTCTCTGTGTTTGATAACACCGGTGGCTGGTTTTGGACGGTGACTTTCTGGGACGTTTGCAAGAAGGAGCCCCCTGCTACATCTTTGATGGGTCCCATGGTTCCAGGCTGGGCAGCTGCTGTGTGGGTCACCATCTCCCGCTCCAGGCCCACTGAAACATGGAGGGGCTGCTGTTAGCGGCTGGGTTTCTTTCCTGAACTGTAATTAAAACCACTAAATTTGCAGTAGATTCACAGTCATGGATATTTGGGAATAATAACCATCTAAGCCATGGTAGAGCCCCATAAAAAATTACTCTCTCTTCTCTTCAAATGGGGAAGCTGTTTTCTCTTCTTCCAATAATTGACTTTCTAAATGTCACAAATAAGTTGACAAAAACAAAGCTTAAGGGGCGCCTGCATGGCTCACTCAGCTAAGTGTCCAACTTCAGCTCAGGTCCTGATCTCATGGTTTGTGGGTTTGAGCCCCTCACACAGGGCTCTGTGCTGACAGCTCAGAGCCTGGGGCCTGCTTTGGATTTTGTGTCTCCCTCTCTCTCTGCCTCTTCCCCCACTCATGCTCTGTCTCTCTCTCTCTCTCTCAAAAATAAATAAGCATTAAAAAAATTAAACAACAACAAAGCTTAAGCCTAAGGTTTTGAGATTTTACATCCTTCTTCAAAACCAGCAGCTTTTCTTCTTTCTTGCAGTGCCCTTTTATGTGTGTAGGTGACATTATAAGACTGGTTTACTTAGCTATACCCTACCTAGTACATCAAAATTTTTCTAAAAAAAATTAAAACAAAATCTTAACTCACTTTAGTTTTAATTTTTAAAAATTTTTATTTATTATTAAGAGATAGAGCATGAGCATGGGAGGGGCAGAGAGAAGGGAAGACACAGAATCCAAAGCAGGCTCCAAGCTCTGAGCTGTCAGCACGGAGCCTGACATGGGGCTTGAACTCACGAGGGGTTAGATCATGACCTGAGCAGAAGTCGGACGCTTAACTGACTGAGCCTCCCAGGTGCCCCCACTTTAGTTTTTTTAAAAGTATATTCTACACAGTGTTTTTAGGATGGGGAAGAATCTTTTAGAAAACAAAGCAAATTTTGAAGAAGGTAAGCAATATAACATTTGACATTTGTAACTCAGATTAAAGACTTATACTTAGTGCTCATTTAATTTAAGGCATAGCTTATTCGCATGAAGTTATACCTAAAACTGGGCAGAAAGAGAGCAATACTGAGTTTGTATTTTATTATGAGAATAAAGACATCCCATCTCCCCCTTGCCCAAAAAGACCATGCAGCTGACTCACAATTATGACAGAAAGCCTCATCGGACCCATCAGGACACTGCTCCACTCCGTCGCAAGCCAGTGTGATGTCAATGCAACAGCCATCATCACAAAAGAAGTGGTAGCGTGAGCAAACGTTCAAGCATCCTGTTTATAAACAAGTCTCAAGTCACAGGAATGTCATATCGTTAACACTTCACTGTGTCACGATTAACAAAGACTAAACGTACATGAAATGTTTTGGGCTTGAGGGAAGCACATATGGGGGAAACACCCAACAGTCTGAGCTGGACAACAGGCAGTGAGAAAGGGGTGTCTCCTTGACCTCCTGACTCAATTCTGAGGCATCCCCATGGGCTCTCAGTCTCAGGGCCATTCTCCAGGCCAACGCTGCCCAACAGGTGGGAACAGAGAAGCAGCAGCTCTGGTCTTCTCCAGCCGGCCCTGGCTCTGCTCCCTCAAGTGTCTCACTCTGTGTTCCTTTGTTCATCCCATCATCTCTGTGGGCCCCTAACACCGTTCCACTCCTGCATGGCGTTTGGTTGGCTGAATGTGTTTTATTAGAGACACCATTCTATACATGCTATGTCCTGCATTCTTGTTTTCTAAGTGATCATTTTCACTGAGATTAGCTTTCAACTATTGAACTCTATTTGTTGACTACCATACATTCCTTCTGCTATAAAGAATAAACAGAACCTTTAGCTACTGGCTGGTATGAATTTATTTTCTTGAAATGATGAAGTTGTCTTCCTTTTGGAGCTGTTAGTTTGTTTTTTTTTTTTAATGTTTATTTATTTTTGAGAGAGAGAGCAGACAGAGAGGGAGACAGAATCTAAAGCAGGCTCCAGGCTCTGAGCTGTCAGCACAGAGCCCTACACAGGGCTTGCACTCACGAACTATGAGACCATAAACCTGAGCCAAAGTCAGCCGCTTAACCTACTGAGCCACCCAGGAGCCACAGGAGTTTTTTTTTTTTTTTTAGTTTATTTATTTATTTATTTTGAGAGAGAGAGAGAGAGAGAATCCCAAACAGGTTCTGCACTGTTAGCATGTAGCCCAACACAGGGCTTGAACTCACAAACCACTACATCATGACCTGAACCAAAGTCAGACACTCAACTGACCAAGCCACTCAGGCGCCCTTGAACCTGTTAAAAGTTTTTAGTCTACAGTATAATTTTAAGGAGCTACATGTATTTTCTTGAAAGGCTTTCCTCCACTCCAGATGAAGCCAACTTTACTAGACTTAGCTACACAACAACTGGGTGACTTTGACACTGGTTAATGCAGAGTAAAGGTATCAGGTTAGAAGTAGGTCATAAGGAACTCCCAAATTTTCCAGGAACACAAGAAGCTAGACAAATCTCTCAGGACACGGCAGAGTGGTAGACTATGATAATCCACTGAGGCAAATGGTTGAGCATAGGACAAGCCCAGGTGAAATCCTGGATATATACTCCATTGTATGCAGTTAAATTAAGGGCCTGGGAAAGGGGTCCATCTGGGTACAAGGCAATTTGAAGATACCTTGATCCAGGAGGAAGAAGAGAAGAAATGGTGGGATAAGCTCCTGAGAAAGAAGAGGAAGCAAAGGGCCTCAGTTATGACTGAGAATTTGGGCCCAGAAAGGAGAATTTGCTTCCGTTCCAGGAAAGGAGCTTGGAGGCAAAGTGAAGGAAAACTGTGTTACCCTGAATACCAAGCAGGATACAGCTACTGCTCGCGTTTTTAAGTTCATGACATGAAAATCCTAGATATCGCAAAGTTTTACTTATTACTTGCTAGCTTTGGCGATAGATTGATATTTGTAACTTATCCATTTATTACTAGATCAGTGGTCTCTAAATTTTTTGACCATGCATCTGATCAATACGTATAGTGTTGTATACTGTACATATAGTGTAATAAACACACATCTCCATCAATAAATATACATGTACCAGTATACTAACATATTCAACATAGTATAAAATATACTAAAAATTCAAAGGAGGAGATTAAAAAGTACTAAAAATATAAGTTCAGGTGTCTTCTTTTCCCTCCTACTAATGTCTCTACCTGTGGGGGATCCTCTTTGGAGACCACTGATCTAGACCATATTGCAAGTGTTTGACGGCTTGGCATTTGAATAGATTTTTTTCTCCAAAGCTTGGAAGCATCTATATCCAAAGGTCAACCAAATTATCACATAAGCAGGGGTATATGCTTGTCTATTTCCCCCAGATGGTGCCACCCTTGGTTACCATTAGTGCTGGGTTATTAACTGCAAGACCAATTTGTCTCTCCCCATTTCTGGGTTTCAATGTCTCTATGTGGTGTTTTATTACTTTAATTCATGTTATTCAAATCTAGCCAGGGAGTGATTCCAAATAGCAGTTAATAACACAGCCATTCTTTTTAATTTTCTATATAAAGTTACATATATAAGATCTATACTCAAGTGGCCTTTCAGTGATTCACATAACTTTCTGTCACTTCAGATACATTTTATTATCATCTTGGAGAAAGGCCAGAAATGTACAACTGGCAATTTACCTTTGGAGCCCTGGAAGACTGGCCTGAGTAAACAAACCAGGCAAATACTGGGCTGCTGCAGTGTTAGCTTTCTGCTTGTACCCCCACTTCTATCCCTTTCACCGGCCCAGGAACCTTGGTTGTACAGAAGCAATCCTTTTCAAACTTCTGTGGGATAACAGGACACCCATGCCTTCTTCCTATAAACTCCTTCCTCCAAGAATCGGCACTTGACTTGGTTCCTGCCCAGGCGAGCACTTGATCCCAGGACAGAACTCTGGGCTCAGCAGTCCTCCATAGGGAGTGAGTGGCTGGGGCTAATGCCATGTTTCCAATGGCCCTGGTATATTCCCAGTACACCAAGGTACTAAAAAAACTTTTTTTTAGTTTATTTTTTAGTTATCTCTAACACCCAATATGGGGCTCAAACCCACGACCCTGAGATCGAGAGTCACACCCTTTTCTGACTGAGCCAGCCCAGCACCCCTCAAAAATGTTTCGAATAACTGTCTGGCTCTCCTTTGCAGCTCCATAAATCAATGGCCCTGCTGGAATCCGAGCTGGATCGGATCCCTGACCTGGATGGCCCCTCTCACGTGCCATCACTGCATCAGAGGGCGGCCGCAGGCAGGAGCTTGGTGTCCCACCAGCCCACAGGTAGTCACCCTCCTTCCTCGCAGCAAGCTGGAACCTCGGCTGGACAGGGAGTCAGCCAGTCACATTCCAGATGCTGCCTGTGCTCTGTGTCCCTGCAGAAGGCAAATTATCAGTGCTGCCAAGTCCTTAGGATTCTAAAGTCTTGCTTCATTTCCAATATGCAGACTGACCTATGTCGGATGGAAGACAAGATCAGCCATAGACAGTCATTTTCCAATCTTTTTATCTGTATTCTCCCAGAGACTGGGCTATCAGGGATGGCAAGGACATGTGAAGGGTGGGTTTTCTGGAGCCGTGGCTAGGGACTGTGAAGGCTTGCCATGTGGGGGTGGGGCCCTGTCTGCAGAGCGCAACCCTGTAAGTCTGGTGCCTTGCACAGCCCCCGCACACTCTGTGTTCCCGCACACACTGACAGAGCCCGCGGACAGAAGGGCAAGACCCTCAAATACACAGCATCTTTGTACCTCTCCCTGGAGTGAACTGTGGGGGGCTTCCCTCTGCAATACCTCTTTGTCTTTTGTGCTCTCAAGTTCCATATATATATATTTTTAACTTGATGAGCTAATCTTAGAAATGCAGATGTTTGGGAAGTTAAGAAACATAGATAAATGAGAAGAATGGGGTTACATTGTGCTACAGAATGTTGAGAACCATCATATTATTAGTATTTGTGTAATGTGTCCATGAAAAATTTTAGTCCTTTTTTTTTTTTTTTTTTTTTTTTTCCAGTAGTGTTTTTTTTTTTTTTTTTTGACAGGACCTGTGGGCAGAAAGAGCTAAACAGTCCCTTTATGTTTTTTTAAATTTTATTTTTTATTTTTTTATTTTTTTTTTAAATCTTTAATGTTTTATTTATTTCTAGGAGAGAGAGAGAGAGAGAGAGAGAGAGAGAGAGACAGTGTGAGCAGGGGAGGGTCAGAGAGAGAGAGTCACAGACTCTGAAACAGGCTCCAGGCTCTGAGCTGGCAGTCAGCACAGAGCCTGACGCGGGGCTCGAACCCACGAACCGCGAGATCATGACCCAAGTGAAAGTCGGACGCTTAACCGACTAAACCACCCGGGCGCCCCTTAAATTTTATTTTTTTAATCTTTCTTTTTGAGAAAGAGAGAGAGAGAGAGACAGAGTGCGAGTGGGGAAGGGGCAGAGAGAGACACACACAGAATCCGTAGCAGGCTCCAGGCTCTGAGCTGTCAGCACAGAGCCCAATGCAGGGAATGAACTCACAAACTGTGAGATCATGATCTGAGCTGAAGTTGAACGCTTAACCGACTAAGCCACCCAGGCACCCCTAAATAATCCTTTTAAATTGACACATGGACTTCATACACTTTAATTTGTTTTAAATTGTCATGTGTAGAAAAAACTCTTACTTCAACAAACACCAAAAACAGAATGGAAGAGCCCATGGAATGAAGTCAGAATCTAAACTGCCAATCCCATACCACCCTTCCATAAATGGCTGGTTTCTGTTGGCCATTGTGGATGCAAAGGAAGGACTTGCTCTCACCTCCTGTGGAGACGGTCATGGGCAGCACTGTCACTGAGACGTTGTCAGAGCTTCTCTGCCCAGCAGTGTCCATCACAGTGAGCTGAAAGGTGTATGTTCCTTCCCGTAAGTGGGACAGCTTCAGGGTTCCTGACTGAGGTACCTAACACCCAGACAGGAAAGAGCATGTGTAGGTAAGAGATCTGACACACGGGGTCCAGCATCATCCTGAGCTGGAAATAAACATTACCCCTGGAGCAGTCCCGTGACCCACCTGTCCACTCCTGGCCCAAGGATGTGAAACCCTAAATCATACACCATTTTGGCAGGCTGCCCTACGCTGAACTCCCAACTCTCCCGGGATGACATTCTTCCTTAACTAACAATCCTTTACTTGCCCTTAGCACTCGATCTTCCAAACCTGTAACTTCTCCAAGCTCCAAACCCAGTATCTAGGCCCTTCCTTCCCAGCAGGTGACCTCATCTACTCTGAGAAGTAAATTGGAGCCATAATTATGGTCATGATTCTGTCTCTACCTCTTATTCCCATGCTGGGAATGCACCTGTACCTGTGCCTCTCATCACCTCCTTTCCCCCAGCCATAAGATGAGCTATCCCTCCTGCACTCCAGGCCAACTCCTCCACCTAGGCCTTGACCCCTTCCCTCTATGACCTTCAGAACAGTGACCCATCAAGTAATTTCTCTTTCAAATGCCTCTGCTATCACTATGCTCAAGTTTCTCTCTACCCAAAAAACAAATAAAACAACAGCAAATAAACAAACGCTACCGTCCAAGATCATCCCAGCCATACAATCTTATCTCCTTTCCATTTCAACTTACCTTTTCAAAGCGTTGTTCATGCTGCGCTTGCTGCTTCCACTTGCCCATTTCCCATTTATTCTTTATCCTACCCATCTGGTTTCTTTCCTCACCATTCCCCCTGAAACTGCTGGTAAAACCCATTAGCTGATCTAGCAAAGATCAACAAATTGTCAAGGTCAGTGAGACTTGTTAGCCTTGACTCGCTCCCACTCCCCCTCCGCTGGCCATCTTACTGTATTTTACAAAGTTGGCCACTCCTGGGTTCTGGAACACTCGAGTTCCCTGGCTTTTGTTTCTGTGTCTGAATTCCTTGGCTATTCCCTTCTGTTCACTCCCTAAACCCAGAGTCCCATCTTGTACTCCGTTCTCCTCCACCATTTTTCAGACAGTCTCCCAATCACTGCAAGAGCAATAGCTTCTGAGTTGTGATTTTGGGAGTCATTTTTGGATGCTCAATCCAACTACTATATTTTTCAGCTCTCCCGAAGATACTATAATAGTTTAATATCCTATTCTCCAGGAAAAATCCCTTTTTATTTAAATGAACTAGTCTGGATATTCACTACAAATGAATTCTGACCATTACATGGTTTATTACATTGATGCATTAACAGACTTGAAAGTATAGAGAATTGCCCTATTAGAACTACAGGCTGCTTGTTTGTATTTACGAAATCGTAGAATTTAGATTCCTGCACATAATTTTGGCTTGGAGGCTTTGTCAGAACTATATATGCACATGAGCAGAAGGCTCTATAATCACTTAGGGGGCAATGCAAGGAGATATAGTTGCATCAATAATCAATCACCCTGAGCTCCTGTTAAGTACAGATTTCCCAGCAAAGCCTTAGAGTCTGTGTCAGTGGGTCTTAGAGTGGGATCTGGGAATTTGCACATAAGAGGCACATCCAGACAATTCACCAATGACACTGGAAGAAACGTGGGTGAAGTGGTTAAGAGCACAGAGTCTGGCTTCCCATAGAGCTGGGTCTGAATGCCAGCTCCACCATGTGCCAGCTGTGGGACCTTGTACAAACCAGTTAATTTATTTAAGCCTCATTTCTTCATCTGTAAAATGGAAATAATAATGGCACCTACCTTCTAAGCATCAAATAAGATAACTATGTAAAAATAGCTTAATATGGGGCTTACATTTAAGTTATAAATATAAAATACAATTTTATTTGTTTAAATATCAAAAGAGCATAACATAGTAAATGATTAAATGTAACCACTGTCTCCACTGATTAGTTCTCATCTCAAGCTGAATGACCCTGTTTTTATAGACAGGAAAAAGAAATCTCAATAGTGTGACTTTCACTCACTGAGACAGAGACAGAAGTGAGACGTCCAGGTGTAAAACCGTCAATATGTGGTCCCATCACTGTCCTTGCAAAAGCTGTGAGCTAAAGAGCTAGCAAAGAAGGAAGCCAGTCCTTCACTGTGTATTTCAAAGAGATGTTAAGCAGTTTTTACTGCTACACTGTTACATGATCTTCAGGCCCAACTACACCAAGAGAATATCAAACAGGGGTCATTTATGTGAGAACTATGACACGCATGCAGAGAGAAAGCTGACAATGACAAGAGAATGTAAGAGTCACGGAAGTTCCAGACAGTAAGTCCAGTTCCAGTAAGAGTCTGGAATGGGCAGCTGACCCTCAGAAACCAGAGGGCACAGCGATGTCTGAGAACCAGGAGAGGACATCAGAGATTCAGATGAGTGCGATTTAAAATGAGACAAAAACTGAAGCTTGGGACTGCAGAGTCATACCACACCCCTCTTTTCTTTCATATTCCGTATTCAATCCATCAGGAAATCCTGTTGACTGTACTTTAAAAACACATCCAGAATTTAAGCGCTTCTCATCATGTCCACTGTCACCATCCTGGTCTGAGCCCACCCTGTCTTCTAGCCTGAGTCACTGCAGGGGTCAAGAGACCTGCACTCCAGTGGGATGGGGACCCAGTACCCCTTTATTCCAGAAACTTTCACTCCCACCTGTGTCCACATGACTACAAGGGAAGGGTGAGTTATAACCTCTCCCTATGGCTGCAGAAGTGTGAGGCTGAACTAAGGGGCGCCAATGACCACGAGGGACAGGACGTGCTGAGGCTGGCACTGGTGACAGACTCTCACTCTCTCCAGCTCTGGCCAGAATCAGGCAGGCCTTGCTAGGTCGCATCGGGGTAACACATAAGACCACTAGTTCCTGGGACTTAGAACACATGGGTGGCAGCTGATGACCACACCAGAATGTGATGATTGAGCCTTGCGGCCTTGAGTAAGGTGCTGTGAAGGAGAGAAACTGCCCCAGCCGGTCTGCCTGAATGCAAACAAGACCTAAGACTGCAGAAAGCCAACAGCTGAGGGGTTTGCTGCCCGGGTACATGAGAGGAGATGGAAGGCTGTAGGATTGAATCTGTAGAATTGAACAGAATGAGATTTGTAGGGTCAGAGGGACCCTGAGTGGCCATAGGAGTGGGGCAGAGATGAAGTTCATGGAGATTTGAGAGACCAGGGAAGCCCTGAGGCAAGGAGTCTGGATGGGCCATCTATGTGGACACTGTCATCACCCAGGACTGTGCCTGAGCTCTCCGAATGTCAACAGTTAGCATACCAGTATCAAACTGAAACTCTGTGGACCTGGGCTTTGTTGGGAAGACTCTCTCTTTTTTTCCCCCCAAGTTTATTTATTTATTTATTTTGAGAGAGAGAGAGAGAGAGAATAAACAGGGGATGGGCAGAGAGAGAAAGAGAGAATCCCAAGCAGGCTCCACATACTCAGCCCAGAGCCCTATGTGGGGCTCAGTGTCATGAACCATGAGGTCATGACCTGAGCCGAAATCAAGAGTCAGACACTTAACCGACTGAGCCACCCAGGGACCACAGGAAGATGCTGGGCTGGAAGGCCAGGCGGCCCCTATCTAAGAGGGCAATTGTCCACCCGGGGTTTGGATGCCTCTCTCTGCCTTCCTAGGCTCTGCCTCTCTGATGCAGGGAACACTGGTCCAGATGCAGATCATGGTAATAACCTTCAAAGTCTTGGGTGGGCTTAAATTTAGATCTATTCAGATTAATAGCCTTTCCTTGGCCCTTCTTATTCATTTAGCTAACGAAGTTGGTCTTTCCTTGAAATCAGATATTTAGAATATTTAGAAAGGTAAAATGGATGTTTTCCCTTCGAGCACTCCAATAACCCTTCCACATCTCCTCATGTTTATGTGATATTGGAAAGGATTTAAAGTATTTTACAAACTTTTCCTAAGTGTCAGGATAAAATATATATGGGAGTGGAGAAGGAGAATAAGACAAAGATTAGTACTGCTTCTCTCTTGTTTCTTCTCTTACTGCCCTTCTCTCCTTTCTAATCTAGGGAAGAGCAATACCAATATATATCTTGGTTTGGCAAGATGTGGGTAAAGTGTACACAAGATCTCTCTGAATTCATTCATTCATTCTTTCTTTCCTTTTCTTTTTCCTTCCTTCCTTCCTTCCTTCCTTCCTTCCTTCCTTCCTTCCTTCCTTCCTTCCTTCCTTCTTTTCCTTCCTTTCTTTTAATCTCTACACCCAACACGAGGCTTGAATTTATAACCCCAAGATTAAGAGATTCATGCTCTACTGACTGATCCAGCCAGGTACTCTACTCTGTATTATTTTTTAGAAAGAAAAGTAAAAGCATGTTATGATACAGACCACGGGGCAAATGGCCAACTATCTATCCTCTGAGCAAAGCTGAACCTTATTCTCATTTTAACTAGATACGGATTTTATGGCCCTAAGTTACCATGTCAGAGAATACACATTGAATTTGAATGCTATCAGATGTGTCCAAAATTTTTGCACTAGAGAATGCAGATCTTTTCAAGTCGATATAATTTTGTAAGTCCTGTCCTACTGTTAAAATATTAAGATTATAGAGACATGTACCACAGGGCCCTCATCTGCAAAGTCCTCTCTGACTTCCCTCAACTAGATTCTAATCTCCCCTTCCTTTGAATTCCAGTAGCACTTTATTTATATTCTTTTATAGCCTTGCCACTTTTTAAAAAATGTTTACTTATTTTTGAGAGGGCACAAGTGGGGGAGGGGCAGAGAGGGGGACAGAGACTCTGAAGCCAGCTCTGAGCTCACAGCAGATGGCCCCATGTGGGTCTTGAACTCATGACCCGCGAGATCATCATGACCTGAGCCAAAGGCAGATGCTCAACTGACTGAGCCAACCAGGTGCCCTAATCTTGCTACTTTCTATTTGGTATTTTTGTTATTTAGGTGCACATCTAATTTCAACCAGTGTCAAGCTACTTGAGGGCAATATCCCCTACAAGTTTTTCACAG